AGAAGAAGAAGAAGAAGAAGAAGAAGAAGAAGAAGAAGAAGAAGAAGAAGAAGAAGAAGAAACAAAATTAGCATTCCAAAAATGGAACATGCCCCGGGCTTCATCTTTCCCCCATCTTTTATCACCCACATTCTTCCTTTGTGGTTTGGCAACCTCATTTTAGGGTTGTTACCCGAGAACCTTCTATCTGCTCTTTTTGTTTGGTTTTTTCTTTTTTTTTTTTTGTTTTTGTTGTTGTTTTGTTTTTTGTTTGTTTTTGTTTTTTGATGATAATATAATTACAACAATTCTCTCCTCCCTTCTCCGCATCCAAACCCCCATGCACCCCTCCCCCTCTGTCGGGCCTTGAAGAGTCTTCCGGCCCGGTGTGAGAGCTGTTGTCTAGCTGGAGTGGGTAGCTTCGCCGCCCTGCTGTCTGTTCTCGGCTGATGTGAAAATGCAAGTAGGCACAGGAAACGTATCTATAACGCATCTAGACTTCCTCTCTGCACGAGGTTTCACAACCCCGGCGGCAGGAGCACGCCCCTCCCTCCGCCCCCACCCAGTGTCACCAGCCTGGTGGCCCTGAGAAAGTCCCACCGAGGGGGCCCCCCCATGCACGGGGAGGCATCACCATTTCCCTCTTGCGCCCTGTTCAGGTCGCCAGAAAATCTCAAGCGCTCTCTGAGACTGAGGCTGGACCCGCAGGTCCCTCCTTGGCGCAGATGAGTGTCTGGGTCACCGGCCCCAGACTGTTGCTGTTTGGACTCCAGCTGTTTGGTAGGAAATCCGGGACGGGAGAAACCAGGAGGCTTGGTAGAGCCGAGGAAAATGAGGAGCCACTGTGAAGGGCGGGTAGCATAGGTGCTGTGGGACCCGGGAGTCCCGGAGACAGAAGCCGGACTCACACACAGCTCAAGTGTGACAGCGAGGGAGGGAGAGAGGGTGGGAGGCGGAGTGGGCCTTCAAGGGCTTAGGAGGATGGTTGGTGGGTCCCAGGGATGGGAGGAGAGAGAACGCTGGGTCGGGTCACCACCCCACCTCCACCGGCTTAGCTCCTCCTGCAGTTTTAGGCGACGTCTTTTCCCTTTGGAGGCCTCCCCTCCCTTCACCTGAACGGAGGGTACTCGCATCTCCCGGCAGCACCGCATACAGGCGGCTAAGCCTGACTGCCAGGGAAGCTCGGCCAGGAAAGGACAGTTTCAAGTCTGCAGATGACACTTTGGCTGTGTGTGTGTGTGTGTGTGTGTGTGTGTGTGTGTGTGTGTGTGTGTGTGTGTGTGTGTTGAATTATGGTGGGTAGAGGTGGATATAGTCGGGGGGGGGGCCTTGAGGTAGGTCACCTGCTGGGCTCAAGGTATGGGGATTCCTTGAGGCTGGGTCATTGGGGCTCTGTGTTCTGGGCTTCAAGACCCCCCCCCCCCAGAGAAGAGCAGGGTGCGGAGCAGCCACGGGGCCTCAAGGCACCCTCTTTGGCCCCTGCCTGGGAACTTGGTCATTCTCTGCCTGGGGCCCCTTCTCTGGCTCCTCTCTCCTGGGCCTCCGCCTTCCTACCCTTCTTTCTTTGACCAATGGTCGAAGGGGAAGTTGGGTCCTCAGGGTCTGGGAGGCGTTGCCTGTGCCCCGGGAAACAGACTGTGTCTCCCATTCCCCATTCCCAGTCCGAGCCCTGCAGGGAGAGGCCCGGCCCGGTCTCTGCTTGGGTGTGGGCAGTCCCGGAGCCCGAGGGGGTTTGGAGGACCAGGTCCCTTGGGCAGCGCGTGGTATGTGGGGGTCCAAAGGGAAGCAGCTGACCGGGTTTGCTCCCCTCAGCCAAGGCCTGGAGCTACAACCTGGACACGCGGCATGCGCAGAGCTTCTTGGCACACGCTGGAAGACATTTTGGGTACCAGGTCTTGCAGGTCGGAGATGGGTGAGCCGCCACTCTTTCCATTCCCTTCCACCGGCAGAGTCTGCAGTGCCCCAGGGACACATCTGCCCAGGGACAGGGAGCCCTGGAGTTGGGGTGGGGCTTGTCAGGTCTCGGGAGCTGGCCCCCGAAGACCCTCTTCTCTCTGCTTCCTGATTGAGAGCCTAGCTGAGCACGTAGAGGCAAGCTTGGGCGTTTGTTGGTGGTGATGCTGTTTGAATGCCAGGTCTGTGTGCATTTGACAAGCTCTCCACCGAGCTGCGCCCAGGCTTCGTTTCCTTGTTTGCTTTGATAGTTTTGGGTCTCTGCAGGCTGCTTCCATACCTGCGGTGGCCGAGTGTAACTCTGAGCCTCTGACCCTTCTACCTCGGGGGTGCTGGGATCACAGGCAGGGTGCCCCCAGACCTGCTTTCTTCTTAGTTTTATTTTGAGACGGTCTTATTAAATTCCTGTAGCCAGCTGGGGGCTGACTGTCCTCCTGCCTCTCTTGGTCTCTGAGTGGCAGAGGTGACAGGCCTGTGTCTTCACACCTAGGCACAGACAGACGGCTTTTGAACTGATGACTAAGTGAATGAAGTCATCCTAAGGGGCCCATCAGACCGTTCTTTGGGCCTCGAATTTTCTAGACTGCAAATGGCAAGAAGCTTTAACGTTCTAGAGTTATGTTACTTGGCTATTGGGGAGGAGCGGATTCCGAGCAGCTCCCCTGAAGAGTGAGAGCTTCATTGGCTTGTCGGCAGGTTCTTAACGTGATTACTGCTGTTGTTGGGGTGTGCGCATACAAGAATACCAGGGTGGTAGTCAGGACAACCTGCTGGAGTCAGTTCTCCGCTTCTACCATGTGTGTCCTAGAGAGCAAATCAGGCTCGGGTTGTCAAGGTCGTTAGGCACCTTTGCTCCAGCTCCTACGCTGGAGCTCGACGGCCAGCCCTGCATCACTTTGAAGTGCTTGTTAAGACGCACAGCGATGGTGCACACCTTTTATTGCAGCGCTCAGGAGGCAGAGGCAGGTGGATCTCCAGCCTGGCCTACGGAGCTAGTTCTAGGACAGCCAGGGCTACACAGTGGAATTCTGCCTGGGGCAGGGGGAGGAGGGTGGGAAAAAAAGGAAAGGAAGAAAGGGAGGGAGGAAGGGAGAAAAGGAGAAAAGGAGGGAGGGAGGAAGAAAGGAAGGGAAGAAGGGAGGAAGGGAGGGAGGGAGGGAGGGAGGGAGGAAGGAAGGAAGGAAGGAAGGAAGGAAGGAAGGAAGAATGAGTAGGAAACAAGAAGAGAGGGCCTGGGAGGGCAGAGGCCTGGGCAACTTCTTCTCTCAGGTGGGATTTTTCATCAGGGTCGTCGTGGGAGCTCCAGGGGAGGGGAACAGCACAGGGAGCCTCCACCACTGCCTTCCAAGCAGTGGTTCCTGCCAACCGGTCAGCCTGCACGGTGAGTAAGGGGGAAGGAGCTGCGAGGTGGGGGCCTAGGAACATGGAGGCTAAGCCTAGCGCAGCTGATCACCCGGGTTCCTCCACAATGTCTCTCTGTCCTTACAGGTTCCAACTTTACCTCCAAGTACTTGGGAATGACCCTGGTGACAGATGCCGCCAAGGGAAGCCTTTTGGTAAGAATCTTGTAGGATGACATCGGAGTCCATAGAACTGAACCCTAGGAAAGAGATGGTGAAAAGGGGTGGGAGGAGAAGCCAGATTACAGACCTGTAATGCCAGCACAGTTACAAACTATACAGTTACAAACAAGCTCAGGCTATATAATGAGACCCTGTCCCAGGAAGGGAAAAAAATAGATAAAAGATCTGACAAAATGTTAGGAGCATCAGAGATTTGACCCCACTGATTCTTACTGAGAACTGAGTAGGAGCAGGTTCCTCCTTTTCTCTCATAGTCTGGACTGGCCTTAAACTCACTACATAGCTGAGGTTGACCTTGAGATACTAATACCTTGCCTCTGACTAACCTATACAACTACATCAGGCTGCTTACATTTCTTTCTAATGTTCTAATAGTTGCATTTTTTCCAAGATAGGGTTTCTCTGTGTAGTCCTGGCTGTCCTGAGACTTGCTCTGTAGACCAGGCTGGCCTCAAACTCAGAGATCTGCCTGCCCCTGCCTCCCGAGTGCTGGGATTAAAGGCGTGTACCACCACTTCCTAACTCTTTCTTGTTTTGTTTTGTTTTAATGGTACTGGGTCTTGTTATTTAACCCAGGCTATCCTGGAACTTGCCATGCTCTTGCTTCAGCCTCCCCAGTGTGGAATTATAGGCATGATTCCATGGGGGTAAGGCTGTAATAAGATACGAAGACATACGAAGGACAAAATCCCTGTCTATAAATCGCAGCCTGACAGGACAGAGCAGACATAAACGCAAAGAGTTCTGCTGTCTATTCTGGAAGAGAGGTTTCGATTGGGTGACTGCGGGGTGTGTGGTTGGGAGGGGCAATAAATGTGGGGCAAGGCCCAGCTGTACATGGACCACGTGGTGAACTGAGGGCGAGGTGTCATCCCACAGACGGTGAGCGCTGCCACTGGGCATGTGGAGTTCCTCAGAGGCAGAAACGCTTTGCTTTGCTCGGAAAACCCTTTGGAAGTGAGGGAGGGGACAGGGTTCTGAAGGCTCTTAGTCTCTGCTGCTAATGCCTGAAAGATGTTAGCATAACACGGGGGAGCCTGAACTTTCCCCTTTGCTTCCTTCAGGCCTGTGATCCCGGGCTGTCTCGGACGTGTGATCAGAACACCTACCTCAGCGGCCTGTGCTACCTCTTTCCCCATAGTCTGGGGGGACAGATGATACAAAGTCGTCCTGCTTATCAGGGTGAGGGACTGCAGACCCAGGTGGGGAAAATTCCCTCCAGAAGCTGGCTCCCGCAGGAGCCAGCACAGCAGGCTGACCGTCGTCAGTCAGGCCTGTTGGCGTATGGTCTCTACAGAATGCCTGAAGGGCAACGTGGACCTAGTGTTTCTGTTCGACGGTTCGATGAGCCTGCAGAAAAAGGACTTTGACAAAATCCTGGAATTCATGAAGGACGTGATGAGGAAACTCAGCAACACTTCCTACCAGGTACACCCGCACAGAAGGACCCTTAGCGGCAGGCCCAAGATGCTCACCTGAACCGGCTTGAGCCGTTAGGCGTGCTGTGAGGTCTCCAGAACGTGTGCTCACACCTCAACGCCGTTGAGTTTATGCCGCTGGCAGCATCAGGAGCCGGGAGTCCAGAGCGGCCCAGTTCTCTGCGGCTGTTTCTGTGCTTGCCTCCATCTTCCCTCTCGGCTTTCTCCCCCCCACTTCTTTAGATTTCAGGGCCTGTAGAAGAAAACTCCTAAATTTGCATGATAAAGTTCCAAGTGGGCACTTTAACTTCTTCCTTCCGCAAAGCCCCAGTTCTAAAGAGACTCTGGCTGTCCCAGCCTCTGTTGGGTGACGGTCTCTGGCCAGCTTAGGGGGTTTTCTTCACAGACATGGCTCCTGGGAGCCATCCCTACTGGTGAGTTAGGTGGGCCCACGGACCAGGAGCCCAGCACACACGTCTAGGTAAGAAAGCAGAGGTTTCTTTAGCCTTGTTTCTACACCTGCTTATGTTTGTCTTAATCTTTCCGAAGGATGATTTAAGGCATGGGGTGTGAAGCTGGGTTACGTGGGCCTGGGGCTGGGATGTTATCAGTGGCTGTGCTTGCCCGGCAACCTCAAGGCCCCGGTTCCACGGGGACAAGCGGGAGGGGGAGGGGGCAAGCAGAGACCGGAGAAGACCAGTGAGAAAGGACCTGTAACCCCCCCCCCCCCCGCCCGTACCATTTCTTTCTTTCTTTCCTAGTTCGCCGCTGTTCAGTTCTCCTTAACGTACAGGACGGAGTTCACCTTCTCAGACTATGTGAAACAGAAGAAAAACCCTGATGCGCTGCTAGACAACGTGGAGCACATGCGCAATCTGACCAATACCTTTGGTGCCATCAACTACGTAGCGTGAGTTCCCTTCCGAGCAGGGACGCGTCCGCGCCTGCGCATTCGTTCCGAGCGAGCTAGCTCCTCCAGGGGTGGAAGGCAGGAAGTCGATGGGCAGGTGCAGAGCGGGGGACGCTTATTGTATGAATTCAGGTGGAGGGCAGCCCCCCCCCCCCCTTAATTGCAGCCTGGGGAGGCTTCTGAAGGAGGATTTCAGGTTTTAAAGGTTTGAGGCCAGTCTGGGCTATATAATAAGACCTTGTTCTAAACAAATAAACAAAAACAAAGCGGGGGATTGGAATGATGGCTTAGCAGTTAAAAGGACCAGATTTGGGATCCAAATACCCACGTAACAAGCCAAGAATCCGGTGCACTCTTGTAACCCCATTTTAGAAGGAGACAGAGATAGGACAGCTGCTGGGGATTGCTGATTTCTAGTGCACGCGCGTGCATACACACACACACACACACACACACACACACACACACACATCTTTAGGAAAACCCCCTAAAACTTCCTTGAGCCGGGCATAAGAGGGCCTCCCTATAATCTTGGCTACTCCGGAGACTGAAGCAGGAAGATCCCGTGAGCCCAGGAGTTCAGTATGAGCCCCGACAACATAGCGAGACCCCCATCTCCAAAAACTAAACCAAGCAAGTGAGTCAGGCCTCTGCTGACGTTTTTCTGCGTTAAACCAGAGAAGAGATACTGCTGGTGAGCGGTATCTCTTGCATATTCCTCTTTGTTTGATTCTATATCCTTTCAAGATTTAAAAGAAAAGAGCAAGCCATTCTTAGCTGGGCGATGGAGGGCAGACTGGCCTTTGCCAGTGGAGGGCTGTTTGTCAGGTTCTACGTACTAGTGATATGCAGGCGAATGATATCTCTGCCCTCCTGGAGCTCACCATTTCAGTGAAAGAAACGTAATAAACACGACAAACAGGCGAGTTTTATAACAGAGCAGATGCGCGCACAGACAGAAACATAAAGCAATATTTGCACAGGAAGGCCAGAGAGGTTTTGCAGAGAGCAGCGGTTTGAGGCAGGGTTTCTATCAGATAGCCCTAGGCTGGCTTCAGACTCACTGTGCAGGCAAGGCTGGCTTTGAACTCCTGATCTTCCTGCCTCAATCTCCCAAGTGCTGGGATTTTAGGCATGTACCTCTACACCCAGCTAGAGAAAGGTCCTGCTGATAAAACTCCTAGATGTGAGGACACAGGCACAGAGGAGGCTTTCCACCGCAATCACAAACATTTTAGACCATGAACCTATAAAGAGAAAGGCTGCCAGATGGGAGCCTGAGGCCCTGTAGTGCCCGACAGGCTTGCTACCAACAAGCTCCCAGCCTTGGCTTAGTCTTTCGAAGCTTCAGTCTACGATCATCCAGGTTCTACTGCTCTGGGCTGTTGGGGCACATCACGGCAGAAGGGTATGGCCGAGAGAATCTACTCATTTAATGACTCAGAAGTCAAGGAGAGAGGAAGGGGAAAGAGGCAGGGTCCCTCTATCTTCTTCAGGGACTTCAAGGTCTCTCACTGATTTTCTGTTCCTGAAAGGCCCACCAGCCGCCAATGGTGCCGCTCAGGAGGCTGAGCCAGGGAGGACGCTTATGAGCCAACCTCAGCTAATCTGGAATGTTCCACAAGAGCAAGATTGGCAGTGGTGCATGCCGCTAACGTCAGCACTCGGGAGGCAGAGGCAGAGGCAGAGGAGGCAGGATTGCTACAAGTTCCAGGACAGCCCGAATACACAGGGCGTTTAGATCAGCCTGAGCTACACAGGGAGTTAGGCAGCTTGGCCTACATAGTGCAACCCTGCCTTGCTTTTGTAGAGGACTGAGTTTAGTTCCCAACATCCACACTGGGCAGCCTGTCACTCCAGCTCCAGGAGGTCTGACGCTTTAGCTGGCCTCTGCAGGCACCCGTACTCATGTGCGCACACTCCCACAAAGACACACATAATTAAGCTATCAACGAAACAAACAAACAAAAACCCCCAAATCTTGGCGAAAGAGAAGGGAACCAAGCCATCTTTGTGGCTGGGGAAACTAAGGGAGAGAGGGCACGGTGGAAGAGGGGCTCAGAGGCATGGCGGTGGGAGTTCAGATGAGCGAGGACTGAGAGTCTGTAGTGAGGTCTTGTCTTCCCCAGAGTAAGCTGTAAGAAGCTCTGAGCAGAGGAGCCATGGTCTAATTTATGTTTATTTGTGTTTCGCTTTGCTTGTTTGTTTGTTTTTGATCTGTAGTCTCATTTTTTTCAGCCCAGGCTGCCTCCTAACTCACAATCCTCCTGCCTCAGCCTTCCAAGTCCTGGGATCAACGGCATAGCCCACGGCACCCAAATCTGATTTCGGTTCTTAAAGAGATTCTTCTTGGGTTAGGTGGTACATGTCAGCGCTCTGTAGGTGGAGGCAGGTAGATCTCTCGGGAGTTCGAGGCCGGTCTAGTGTACATAATATGATCCAGACCCCAGCCAGGGCTACATGGTGAGGTGAGACCCTGTTTTGAAAATAGATAAATAAACAAACAAGGAAAAGGATTCTTCTGCTGTAGCAGAGCTGAAGGCAGCTGGGCAGGATAGGGGAGGAAGAAGCTGCTGCTGAATTGCTTCCCCAGGGAAAAGTGAATGTCTCTGGCCACAGGGTCCTTTTCCCTATGGAATTTCATATAGTCAGACACCTATAGCTGACTAAATTGTGGTTGTCGTGTGATCAGGATGGAGGGTAGGTGAAACCCTGAGTTCCCATGGCTCCCCCATTGCTACCTGTGGGCCCGGGAACACGCCTCTGGGCTACCCAGAGTAGAGTGAAGCCCACCAGTCCGGGGGGAGACGGTGGTGAACGGGTGAGGTAGGGGGCGAGGAGAATGCCTGAAGGGTTGGAACACCTGCGGGGTAGACTGGAGAAAGGCTTTTGTGTGATTGGCTGGGCAATGATTCGGTGAGCGGTGGGAGAGGGGAGGCCTTGGGAGGAACCTCACGTTCCCCTTCCTGGACATAGGAAACAGGTGTTCAAAGAAGAGACTGGGGCCAGGCCAGATGCTACCAAGGTGCTCGTCATCATTACAGACGGGGATGCCACTGACAGTGGAAACATTGACGCAGCCCAAGGCATTATCCGCTACATCATCGGGGTACGGTTCCCGGGCTCGCGTGGTCTCCCGTCTTCTTCTGAGTCCCAAGCTTCCTCCTCCCTGTGCCGAGGTCTTCTGACTGAGAAAAAGCTGGTCAAAGAGAGTTTTGGGTTGCTCCAGCTCTTCCCTCTCCCCTCTCACAGGTTGGGATGCGTTTTAGGAGCACAAATAGCCAGAAGACCCTCCATATATTTGCCTCAAAGCCCACGGAGGAATTTGTCAAGATTCTGGACACCTTCGAGAAGCTGAAGGATCTATTTGATGATCTGCAGAAGAAGATTTACGCGATTGAGGGCGAGTCCCGGGCCCGGGAGGGTGGGGAGGAGGGGCTAGGCACATGGCTCCGCCCACCTTCCCTGACCTTAGGCACCACGTGTCACCTAGGACGGGCTAGTCCTAGGACAGACAGGACTACATAGAGAGACCCCCGAGAAAACAAGAGACAATACCAGTTACTCTTGGACGTAAAACTCGGCTGCTGTGTCGGTCCCTTGTGGCCTCTCTAATGAAGTACCAAAGGCTAGTTATTTTATAATAACCTTGTCTTAGTTATTTTTCTGTGGCGGTGACACAACGCTATGGCCAAGGCAGCTTACAGACGAATGCTTTATTTGGCCTTTGGTTCCAGAGTTAGAGTCCACTGCGTCCCTTAGCTGTAGGACTCTTCTGAAAAAAATACATACCATTTTATTTAATCTTTGAGAACTTTATACATATATAATTTATTTTATTTTATTTTATGGTCTGTTGTGTTATGTTATATTATATTTTATTTTATTTTACTTTAGCTCTGCCTGTCCCATAACTCACTCTGTAGACCAGGCTGGCCTCAAACTCACAGAGACCTGCCTGCCTCTGCCCCACCTCCCAGTAATGGGACTAAAGGTGTTCCTAACACTCCCCCTCACTCTCACCCTCTAGCTCCTCCCAGACTACCCCCCACCATGCCTCCTCCCAATTTCTAGCTCCCATTAAAAAACAACAAAAACAAAAACAAACAAAAAAAACCCAAAAGAACCAACAACAACGAATACACTGAGTCCAGTCAGTGCTGCCTGTACATGAATGGGTGTGGGGCCACCTGCTGGAGTCAGACCCCCGAAAAACAATCACCCAGTAACACTCAGCATATGCACCTTACCTTGTCCCAAGGTCAAGGTGCGCCTCTTGCGTGCTGTTTGCACATACGTCTCCCTTCTTAGTGTTCCTTGGGTCTGCTTCGTTCCTCAGGCACAAGCAAGCAGGACCAGACGTCCTTTAACATGGAGCTCTCCTCCAGCGGGATCAGTGCAGACCTCAGCAAGGTGCACAGCCATGAGCTGAGGGGTGCTTGGGGATCCAGTGGGCTCAGCTGGCTGGGGTGACACTCACCCTGCTCCTCTCCTTCCCTGAGCAGGGCCATGCAGTTGTGGGAGCAGTGGGGGCCGGGGACTGGACTGGGGGCTTTCTGGACCTGGATGAAGGCCTGCAGGATGCCGCATTTGTTGGGAATGAAAACGTGACCTCAGATGTGAAAGGAAGCTATTTGGGTGAGTACTTTGCTTTTCTACTGGTTTTTTCTTTTCTTTTCTTTTCTTTTCTTTTTTCTTTCTTTCTTTTTACCTTCCTTCCTTCCTTCCTTCCTTCCTTCCTTCCTTCCTTCCTTCCTTCCTTTCTTTCTTTCTTTCTTTCTTTCTTTCTTTCTTTCTTTCTTTCTTTCCTTTTCTTTTTTTTTTTTTTTTCTGGTTGGAGAGACCAGAGAGTAGCTCAGACTGCTTTCAAAATAATAGTAATAGTGGAATTTCTCCCTCTCCCTCTCAGCAGAGGGAAGTTTGAGACAGGGTCTTTCCTAGTCCTGGCTGGCCAGGGACTCACCGCAAGCCTTTTATCTTAGCTTTCTGAATGCTCGATTACAGGTGTGAGCATTTGAGACAAGCTGTTATGTTCTCCAGCCCGTGCTTGTATGAGCATGCCATGGGGGAGAGTTTGTTCTCCTTCCTACCATGTGTGTTTCTAACTCAGAGCCTCTGCCTTGGTGGCAATAACCTTAACCTGCTGAGCCGTCTCACCAGCCCGGTGTTGTTTCATTTCAAGGCGTGATGATGGCATGAGCCTGTAATCTCAGCACAGATGGAGGCTGGGGCAGGGGGATTGTTAGTTCAGAGGCTGTTGTGGCCTAAATGGAGAGACTGTGTCTTGAAAGGAAGGTGGGGGTTGGGAGAATCGGGAAGAGAACTCAAGAGTTTAACAGTGTTTGTTTCTCATGCTAAGGACCAGAGTTCAGTTCCCAGCAGCCACACTGGACAGCTCACAACCACCTGGAATTCCAGCTCCAGAGACTCTGATAGGCTCTCCTGGCCCCCAAGAACATGCACACGTGTGTGTGTGCACACACACACAAAGTAAATTAAAAAAAATAATAAATCAGCCGGGCTGGGTTGGCACACTCCTTTAATCCCAGCACTCTGGAGGCAGAGGCAGGTGGATCTCATGAGTTCAAAACCTGCCTGGTCTAAAGAGAGAGTTCCAGGACAGCCAAGGCTACACAGAGAAATCCCGTCTTAAAAAAAACCAAAACCAAAACCAAACGAACAAAAGTCATGCTAGACACAAAGGAAAAGCAATGTGTCTGCCTGGCCACGGTTGCCAGTGTTCTCTCTGTGCGCTGCTCCAGCAGCTGGCTCGCCTGAGCTGCTCCTCCTACGATGCTGCCCTGATGCTGTGGTTCACCAACCAGTCCTCCCTTCGCGCCTCCTGCTGACCTTAGCTGACAGGGCTCACCAGTGAGACGCTAGCTAATGCACTTGTGTTTGTGGTTTTATCTGATTCTCAGAACCACTTCCATGCAGCTGGTGCTGTTCCTTTTTTTTTTTTTTTTTTTTTAAGAGTATAAATATGCTGAGAGGCACGGAATGATTGTCTCCAGGTCATTCCCCTAGGAAGTCACAGCGCTGGGATTTCAGCTGAGTCTCTGACCCCCAAGGCGTGTGCTTCGGGGGTACAGGAACTGAACGATCTCTTCGCCTTCCTTTCCTGTGCCTCTCTTGCTTTCCGTTGTTCTGCAAAAAGAATCAGATAGAATCTTAAACCATATTTACTTTTGGGGTCAGGGGGAGAGGTGGGGCGGGTGACAAAATTTCCCACCTGGAACTCACTGTGTAGACCAGGCTGGCCTCTGCTTCCCAAGTGCTGGGGTAAAGTGCCTGGCACCATATTTTACTTTTATTAATTGATGGTGGCAACACCCAGAGCAGCAGCCGGGGGACATATGCCTTCTTCTTCCTGCCGAACCTTATCAAGGTCGTGATCTTGGGCACAGCCTGCTTGACCTTGTAGTCCATGGTGCACAGATGCTTTTCGTCCTTTCCACAGCGGTCAGGGGAGCTGGGTGATAGTTCGAGAGCCAGGCTTGCTTCTCCCAGCTGCTCAGCTGCTCAGCTGCCTCCAGAGCCCCAGTAGCCTGGGCCCCCAGGAAGTGGGTGACAGGGGGATCATCTCTGGGTGGCTGTGGGTGCTGTAGAGCATTGCTTGCATAACTTTCAAAGCCTTGGATTTGGTTTCACTTTTGGTGTCGTCTTGGTGAAAAGAGTTTTGTTTTTGAGAGAGAATTATATGTTTTTATTGTTTATGCATGCATACATATATGTGTGGTTTATGTCTGCACTTATTCCTGTGTGCCACATACATGCAGTGCCCTTGAAAACCAGAAGAGGGAGTCAGATACCCTGCAACTGTGAGCCACCATAATTACTGGGATTCGAACCTGGGTCCTCTGGAAAACAAAACAAACAAACAAACAAACAACAACAACAACAACAACAAAAAACCAGCCAGTGTTCTTAATAGCTTGGGCGAGTTCTTTGGCCCTAAAAGGGGTTTTGAAGTAACATGTTTAACGTGGAAGTTTCTCAAGTGCCCTGCCCTTCCCTGTCCTGTGGAGTGAGTGGCCAGGGCTCGTGTGGGACTTTCGGGTCCCCTGGCCCGAGAGTGTTAAGAGTACAGCCGAGCACTGGCGCGTCCGCTGTGTCGTTTTCAATATGCACATCACCGTTGCCGGGTTCCTCTGTGCCACCCCAGCTGTCCTGGAACTCACCCCAAAGTCAGACTTCTCCCTCTTCCCGCTGCTTCTGCCTCTCAAGTGCTGGGGTTAAAGGCGTGCACCACCACGCCCAGCATTTTGTCCTCTTCTTCTGAGCATATTGTACAAATTACTTATCTCGCTGCTAAAACGAAGTATCTGAAAAGGCTGCAAAGGGGAGGATGGGCTTAATTTTGCCTCACAGTTAAACCTTGTGGGAAGGGTTTGGAGAAACAGCTCAGTGGTTTAGAATGTTGGCTGCTTTTGTAGAGGACTGGGGTTTGATTCCACCAATTTCAAAGGATCTGAAACCTTTCTGTGGTCTCCTTGGTTGCTAAGTATGCGCATGGGACACATACATATGTGCAGGCAAAACACTCACATACAGAAATAAAACAACGTATGCTCCAGCAGACGGTCTGCGTCCGAAGGCCCATGGCTGGCTCCTCCCTGGGGGAACTGGTTGCTCGCAGTTGAGAAGGCCTGGGGTGGGAAGGCTGTCCAGTGCACACTGCTGCCTGTCAGGCCAAAGATCTTCTGGCTGTTTCCATGTCTCTTTGTTCAGAGCTCAGGGTCCTGGGTTCTCCTTCTCTCAGGAGCCTTTGCACTTCTAAACCCTTACCTGGGTTTTATCAGGTTACACTGTGGCCTGGCTGCCCTCCCGTAGCTCCAAGCCGCTCCTGGCTGCAGGGGCCCCACGATACCAGCATGTGGGACAAGTGCTGCTCTTCCAAGCACCAGAGGCCGGAGGACACTGGAACCAGACCCAGAAGATTGAGGGGACTCAGGTGAGAGCGACCAGAAGGGCATCGGCCAGCGGGCCGGCGCAGCAGGAATGATGATTGCCAGGCCCTGCAAGCACTGTGCTTGTGGGATGAGTCACGTGAGGTGCTGAGAGCAGGCCCTGGGGTACAGTGTCATTTCCCTGCTCTCTGTCTTAAGACACTGTCCCTCCAAGCTTCCAACCTGTCTTAATCCATCTGAGCTCAGGGGTGGAGCCGAGACTCCATCCTGAGGTGGGGGAAGGTGGACCTGGGGCAGCTGAGGGGCGGGCGGGAGGGGACCCACACCTCCCGCTGCCCCTGCCACCCCTTCCTCAGATGCCGCCCCTTCCTATCCTCACAGATTGGGTCTTACTTTGGTGGGGAGCTCTGCAGCGTTGACTTGGATCAAGATGGCGAGGCAGAGCTGTTGCTGATCGGGGCACCCCTATTCTATGGGGAGAGGAGAGGAGGCCAAGTGCTCGTTTACCAGAGAAGACAGGTGAGAACCAGGACTGCGAGGGAGGCAGAGCTGGGGCTGATGTGTGGAGTCCTCCTGCTCGGGTCTGGGTCATCCCAAACGGCTTCTCCCTCGCTACACCAACGAAACCGTTCCAACAACAACAGACAGTAGCTGAGAGTTGTTGTGGTATGCTGAACAGGCCTGATGGACGTGGGCTCATTTCATTGTCTGATCGTCTAAACACCTTCAATCTTTAGATTACAAGTCCCAGCTCATGGCTGGGGAGGCTCCATCATTTTTCAGAGCCACAGGGTCACGCAGACAGAAACAAACTGAGCTATACTGAGTGCAGGCCAGCCTGATGGCGGCATTCTGCTGCTCTGAAGGTCGCACTGTTTTTTTGTGTGTGCTTTTCAATGTATTTACCACAATGCCACATTCTGGGAAAGTCTGCCATGGTTAAGAGTTTAGCGTATGCTGGGAGCAGTGGCTCACGCCTGTAATCCCAGCACTCAGGGAGGCAGAGGCAGGTGGACCTCTGTGAGTTCAAGGCCAGCCTGGGCTACAGAAGTGAGTTCCAGGACAGCCAAGGCTACACAGAGAAACCCTGTCTTGAAAAACAAAAAACAAAAACAAACAACAACAAAAAAATGAGGTTAACCTATGATCCATCTCCTCTCCAGTCGCTGTTTGAAATGGTCTCCGAGCTGCGGGGTGACTCTGGCTACCCCCTGGGGCGGTTTGGGGCTGCCATAACCGCCTTGACAGACATCAACGGGGACGAGCTGGCCGACGTGGCGGTGGGAGCCCCTCTGGAGGAACAGGGGGCCGTGTATATCTTCAACGGGCAGCCTGGCGGGCTCAGTCTCCAGCCAAGCCAGGTAACATACCCTGCCTGCCCACTAATCCTACATCCCCTGCAGCCTGAAGCCTCCAGGTTTCAGGTCTGAGTCTGACCTCCTTTCCTCACCTGGCCTCGTCCGGCTTAGCATCCATTTCTCTCTTGCTCCCAGCGAATACGAGGCACCCAGGTGTCCCCAGGAATTCAGTGGTTTGGACGCTCCATCCATGGGGTGAAGGACCTTGGAGGGGACAGGCTGGCAGACGTGGTTGTGGGAGCTGAGGGCCAGGTCATTGTGCTAAGGTGAGATGGGTTTCCTGAGCCGTCGCAGCTCTCTTCCTTCAAGAAGCCGCTGGGACACTGTACTCCAACTCTGGGGACCAGCCCGCCTCCCTGGGTTCCCTGTCTCGCCCCTGGCTCAGAAGCCGCTCTGCAGAGGCAGAGATGGGATTTGCAACCAAAAATCTGCTGGTTTGGGTTCCTGGGACCCACATTTCCTGCATTGTTAGTGACGTGGTACAGGGGATAGATATTATTACATATTATGCCTTTAAAAATTCTGCTCGTGTGTGCGTGGGCACGCGTGTGTGTGTGTGTGTGTGTGTTTACTGTCATGCACATGCCACAACGCATGTTGAGAGCACAACTCTTGGGAGTCAGTTCTCTCCTTCCATCTTGTGAGCCCCAGGGATCAGACTCAAGTTAGTTGTTAGGCTTGGAGACAAGCTCCTTTCCTCTCTGAGCCAAATGGCTGGCCCCTTTTGGGGATGGAACCTCTCACTGCCCTCCACCCTCAGCCCAGCACAGGCTAGCCTAGAGCTCAGCTTGGATGTCCAGGCTGGCTTTGAGGCCAAAGCCTTTCTGTATCTGCCTCAGTTTGCCAGGATTGTAGGGACGCACCACCTCGCCCAGCACCTGGTGTGTCTTGAGCACTGGCTCAGACACTGGGCCCCGGGTGTGTGAGGATGCCTATAGTGAAAACTTAATGGGCAGTTAGACCGCTGAGTGCTACAAGGAGGTGAGCAGGCTCCCGTGAGACAGTAGCAGGGACGGCCTAGTGCAGATTGGCGCCTCTCTGAGGGGCCAGTGCTAGGGCTGAGAGCTGAAAGAGGAGAACGTGTCAGGCCAGTGGAAGCCCGGGTTAAGAGCTTTGTAGAAAGCCCAGCATGCGCCAAGGCCGATGGAAGACTGACAGGAAAGAGGGAAATGTGGCTGGAATGTGGTTGTCCCAGGGGCACTGTGGTAGGAAACAAGACGGCTGAGACAGGCACTACATCATTGGTAATAAAGAGCTTGGACTTTATTCTGAATATCGTATGGCACTGTCTGGCCTACTTGGTGATTTCCAGGTCAGCTAGTAACTACACAGTAAGACCTCGTCTAGCTCCAGCTATCTGTCTGTCTGTCTGTCTGTCTGTCTATCTATCTCATTCACGTGGCAATGTGCACATGTCTCTAAGTTCATTCCCCAGTACCACAAGACCTAGCAATGCCCCCTCCCCCCACTGTATCGTGTGCATACCTGGTCTCTCTCCCCTCTTAGCGTCTCACTAGCGCAGGCTGTGGTCTTCTGTCTCCCGCTTAACAATCCTGGGATGGTAGCTGGGCAGTACCGTACCACTCTGATTCCTCTTGTTCTGCTCACTCTCTCTTTAAAAAAAAAAAAAAAAATTATTATTTATTTTTATTTGCTTAATGTGTGCTGGCGGTATGCAGGTAGAGGGTGTCAAGGACAGCTGATGGGAGCCCGCCTTCTCTTTCCACCATGTTTTCAAGACTGAACCCGGGTGGTCAGGCTTGGTTAACAAGTGCCTTGGCCTGCTGAGCCACATCCCGGCGCCCCTTTTGAAAGAATAGGTTTATTGGGCTGTTTGAGGTGACACACCCCTTTAATCCTAGCCCTTGAGACTTCGTGAGTGCAAGTTCAGCCTGGCCTACAGAGCAGGTTCCAGGCCAGCCAAGGATATATAATGAAACCTTGTCTCAAAACCAAAAAATTTTGTTTGTTTTTTGTATTGTGTGTGTGTGTGCGCCTGTGTGTGTGTGCTCATACTCACACACGTGTGTGTGCCATGGTACAAATGTGGAAGTCAGAGGACAGTTTGTAGGAGTCTGTTCTCTCCTTCTACCACGTGTGTGCTAGGGACCAAACTCGGGTCATCAGGCTTGGTGGTACCCCTCTCCCTACTGAGCTGTCCTGTGGGCTCTGAGTTCTCTTTTTCCAAAGGTCGATTCTTTATGGAAACCCCAATTGCCATGGCTGCTATTACCGAGAGGCTTCTGAGAGCTCTGTCAGAGCTGGACAGAGCTCCCACATCTGTATCATAAGCCCGCTGGGATGTGCCCAAGGGAGAGACTCGATGTCCTCTGCTCTGCAGCTCGAGGCCCGTGGTGGACGTCGTCACGGAGATGTCCTTCTCCCCCGACGAGATCCCGCTGCACGAGGTGGAATGCTCCTACTCTGAAAGTCAGGAGCCGAGGAAAGGCGTCAGGCTCAAGGTGTGCTTCCAGATCCGCCTCCTCACGGCCCGGTTTCAAGGTCAGTGCTGTCTTCGGAGAGCTGCCGCCAAGGCCCGAGTGAGGAGGCCCTCCCATCACTCAACTCTAGCCTTCCTCCCCGCCCAGGTCGCCTGCTTGCCAACCTTAGCTACACCCTGCAGCTGGATGGCCATCGGACAAGGAGCCGAGGTCTGTTCCCAGGAGGAAGCCACGTGCTCAATGACAAGACGTCGGTCACCCCGGATAAATCCTGCCTGGATTTCAGGTTTTCCTTCCCAGTAAGGGAGCCAGTACCGGCCTTCTGGGAAGGGCTGACTGCAGCTAGAAGCAAGAGGGTGTAGGCGTGGGTCTGTCACCACTCAGCTGCCACAAGTGACATTGATTTCTTGCTACTACCATTTCCTCTGCTGTTCAGTAGTTGACCTAACACTAACACCCTTCTGGAGTTTTCCCTCTAGTCCTTTGCTTTAGCACTTTTGTTTTGTTTGAGACAAGGGTCTTGCCGTCTGGTTTACGTAACCCTGTCTGGTTTGGTACTTGCTACGGAGCCCAAGCTATCCTTGCACTCATGGACTTCCTCCTGCCTCAGCCTCCTGAGTGCTGGGATTATATGTATGTACTGCTGTACCAACGCTGGCCTTTTTGTTTGTTTTGGTTGTTGCTTGAGACAGGGTCTGGCTGTTCTGGAACTCACTAGGTAAAGCAGGTTAGCCACAGACTACTCCCAGAGATGTTCATGCCCCTGCCTTCTGAGTGTTGGGATTAAAAGCACAGGCCACCATGCTAAGCCTGTGGTGTGAGGATGATTATAATGTTCTCAGTGCTTCTCCTCCTCTCTCTTCCCTGTTAACGATGCCACTCAGCGTTCCCAGTTATAATGGTATGTCTTAATACATTACTTATTGTCAGCACTCATACCAGGGAGTCTGTTTGAGACAGGACCTCACTATGTAGCCCGGAACTCACTTATTTAGCCAAGGCTGGCCTCAAACTCACAGAGATCTGCCTGAGTATTGGGATTAAAGGTGTGCACCTCTACAGACCCAGCCTCCCCCCACCCCCCAATTTATTCGTTTATTTTTGTTTATGTTGGTTAGTTGGTTGGTTTTTTTGAGACAGGGTTTTCTCTCTGTAGTCCTGCTGTCCTAGAACTCACTAACATAGACCAGGCTGGCCTTGAACCCGGAGATCCACCTGCCGCTGCCTCCCAAGCGCTGGCATTAAAGGTGTCCGCCATCGCCCAGCTTCCGTTTATCTGCGTCTACGCCGTCACACCAGAAGCTAGCATCGGATCCCATTACAGATGGTTGTTAGCCGCTATGTGGGTGCTGGGAGTTGAACCCAGGGTCCCTAGACGAGCAGAGAAGCCAGTGTTCTTAACCCCAACCCATCTCTCCAGTCCCAGGCCCATTTCTTTTTAAATATTGTTTTGGACAGTTGTGAAATGTCAACTGGGTTTTGCTCGTTGCTCGTGTTAGGCTTCTTCTCTGGGATGTCAAAGGGACAGAACTAGAAGCATTCCCCGGGTAGTCCGCCTCCTCCTCGAGCAATTATCCCCTCCCAGTCCCAGGTTGTTCCTAACAACATGTCGTGTCCCTCTGCTCCCCACACTCCACCCTTTTAGCTCTGGAAACTCATCCCAAATTTGCCAGAGAAGACAGCAGCATGGCACGGAGGCACCTTGCGCTTTGGGTCTGGGTATGTGGGCTGTCAGCCCCGTTGCTCTCAGTTCTAGGTCTGAAGACAATTACATCAGGTTTCAGAGCTTTCTCTCTTGTGCTGAATAGGGAATGATTGTGGCCTGCTCTTAAGATCCACAGGCCCCTTAGGCAAAGTTCAAATGGAGACCCTACCCAGGCTGTTACGGCCACTACTAATGACAAAAGACTACCAACTCTGTTGTCAAGGAACTAACAGCCTAATTGTTCTGGAATGTTCTTGTATGAAATTTGACAGTGGCTGCCTAGAGCAGATATATGCATACTAGATATTATTGTATGCATATCTGTATTATATATGTACATACGTTATGTATACGGGTGTTTTGCTTGCATGTATATCTTTGTACCTTGTGTATGCCTGGTGCCAGAGGCAGCCAGAAGGCATTAGATCCCCTAGATCTGGAGTTCCTGGTAGTTGTGATCCATCATGTAGGTTCTGGGAATCGAACCTGCATCCTCTGGAAAAGCAGCCAGTGCTCTTAACAAATAAACCATCTCTCCAGCCCCCTAGGGCAATTTTTAAAACGTTGTTTGAAAAACATCTTACTCTGTAGCCCAGGCTGGCTTGGAGCTCTAGGTGATCCTTCTATGTCAGCCTCTTAAGTTCTTATAGTACAAGCATGAACCACCATGACCGAATCCATTTAATAATGGTGTCTTAGTTACTCTTCTATTGCTATGAAGAATCACCGTGACCAAGACTACTTACAGAAGAGTTTGTTGGGGGCTGGCTTACAGTTTCAGAGAGTGAGGCCACGGTCATTATGGCAGGGAATGTGACAGCAGGCAGGCATGGCACTGAAGTAGCTGACAGCTTACTTCTGCTCTGCAAGCAAGAGGCAGAGAGAGCTAAGTGGGCATTACATGGGCTCTGGAAACCTCAAAGCCTACCCCAGTGACACACCTCCTCCAACAAAGCCTCACCTCTTAAAACCTCTTTAAACCTCCCCACCGGAGACCAGGTATCATCCTCATTCAAACCACCACAGATGGTTCAAATGCCTCCATTACAATCCCGTGGAAAGCTGTGGGATTGATTAGTGATGCCTGGCTTGGAGTTCGGGCCCTGCTGGGAAGCACACTATAAACACCCTATACATAACAAGCTTGTTCCGAGTATTTAGGTGTAGACAGTGGAAAATGATAAGGTCTTAGCATGTAACCACTGCGGTGTTGTCACTGGGGAGGTGCAGATGAGGCATGTGTGCTCTCTGTGGTTAGCCTCATCCTGACCCTATGTCCTCACCCTCAGATCTGCATTCAAGACCTCATCTCCCCCATCAGTCTTACCACCTTTTGGTCCCTCGGTGTTCCTTCTTCCTCCAAGAGAGAGAAATTCAGAGAGACGTTGATGGGGGCAGGGGGGGATGAATGTTTAAAGGGAAGGCCGGAAAATCTATTTAGCAATAGTAAAGCTAATAGGTGTTACTTAAGCAGGAAGGAAATTCATAGGCGTCTGTATGTAAACAAACTCGTGGGAAGGAGTGGAGCCAGGGTGGTGGCTCTGGGGAAGGAGAGATAATGGGTGGGGTCTGGAGGGTCCCTTCAGTGACCCTGTTCCAGGTTCCTGCTGGGCGTCAGCCCTCACTGCATTACCTCTAGAACCGTGCAGCACACACATTCCAGGGAGAGAACTTCAGAAGGCCTCGCTTTGGGCCAGACCCTGTAGACAGGGCTTCTTAATTAACCTTCCCTCCCTTGTGTGTTCAATTAAATGCCAGACCGGGTGCTGTAAAACTAATGGGGGGATATCTGTCCTCATTCCCAAGATCAGACACTCCCCGGGCAGTGCCAGGTGTCCCCTTTAACATTCTTGACAGTCAGCAGGTGGTCAGGCTGGTGAGAGGCGGCACCGTCTGGGGGAAGAAGGTGGCCAGGAATCCAATTGTGTACATTCCTGGCAAAACCTCCGTGGGTTCCGTCCCCACCTGTGTCCTGAGACTGTCTCTTCCCTGTGAGATTCTTCCAGAGCTAGAGGAGTTCTGCACGGTGATCGCTGAGCTCTTTCTGTGCCTTCAGCATCACATGAGGGGTGTACCCTGCCCCACCCCCCCATGCTGGGATTTGATGGCTACGTACACACTTGAGCAGAGTCGACAGGCCTACTCAGTGGCATGCCACCTCTGGCCACCTTCTGTTGTGGTCCATAAGTGTGACCCTGCCCTGCAGGAGCTCCTAGCCTGCTGCCAGAGATTGGAGGGGATAAGGCAAGTCTGCCCAAAGAGGGGGCCCAGAGATCCCCAGGAGGAGAGGTACGTGTTCAGAAAAAGCATAGTGTGGCATGGGCAAAAAGACTTTGGAGACTCTGCGTTGACAGACACATGAGAGGAAGACGAGGTCAGAAGGACTTAGGCTCTAGCTAAGGGCCTTGTGGAAACGTCAAAGAATTTTTATGTGGGAAGAGGAAATGCTGTATATCCGTGAGCTTAATTGCTTTTGTACTTATTAATTTTATTTTATGTGTGAATGTTTTGCCTGCACATTTGTGTTTGTGCTACATATGTGTCCTCGAAGGTGAGAAGCGGGTATCAGCTCTCCTGAAGCTGAAGATTTGAACTACCATGTGTGTGGGTGCTGGAGAGTGAATCCAGGTCCTCTGGAGGAGGGGTCAGTGCTCCTAACTGCTGACCCATCTCCTTAGCTCCTCGTGGGCTTTTTCTGTGCTGGTGTTAGAAACCCCTCTACAACCTGGTCTGAGCAAGAAAGGGCATGGGCTGACACCGCCTGAAATACAGGCCTAGCTTTATCCAGACGCCTGGACAAAGGCATCAAGAATCCTGTCTCTCCTTCTCTTTCCTTCTCTTCCCCCTCCCTCCTTCATATAGCCCAGGCTGGTGTGGAACTTTCTGTGAAGCCCAGGTTGTCTTTGAACTCCTGGTTCACCTGCTTCTACCCCCTAAATCCTGATTCCAGGGGTGTGGCCTGTTGCCCAGCTCAGGAAGCTTTCTTCATATTTCTTGTAGCTCATTGTCCTCGTATTGCTAGACTTTGTCAGACTTCTGACAACCAGGTAGAGGAGAGAGACCTTCCCTTTGTTGTGACCTAGTCATATTCACTCCCTCAGCCCAATGCCAGGGGCCAGGCCTTGGCCATATGCCAATACGTAAGCAGGCAACCAAAGCCCCCTGGGGTGGGACCAGATATTTAGGAGATGTCACATAGACGTGTAAGCAGCCGGTTCCAGCACTGACGTGGCTGCAAAATGAACCCGGGGGCAGGGAGGAGGCTGTGGCGGTGCGTCCCACTGGGCAATAGGCAGGCTTGAAGCAAGGCACTCTGGGAGTGGAGAGGAGGAGATGCACTAACAAGAGTCTGTAGAGGCAGGGCTGCCAGGAGCTTGAGATGTGCGGAGGCAAAAGACAATGGACATTTGTCATTTGGATCTGGATGGATGATGGGCACCCCAGTGCCGGGAGCCCGAGAGGCAGCGCAGCTGTGTCAGGAACGGAGACTCGAGAGTTCAGCCTTTGAACGTGTGGTATCTGGGCTTCTGGCTCACCCAAGAGACGGCTGTGTCTGTTCTAGGCGGGCCGAGATACCTGCCAGGACTACTGCACTCCAAACAACAGAGGTTTCCATTAAAACTGGGGGTTTGTGTGTGCGCGCGCGCCTGTGTGTGTGTGTGTGTGTGTGTGTGTGTGTGTGTGTGTGTGTAGATCAGAGGATACCTTTGAGAGTCAGCCCACTCCTTCTATCATCCTTCTCTTGTACAAGGCAGGTGGAGACTGGTGTGGCTTCTACGATCCTAAATCAGGAATCAACAAACAATCGGCAAAGACCAAAGAGCACATGCTTTTTGCTTTTAGGGCTGTGTGGCTTCTGTGGTGGCTACTTCTTATGTTCAAAGATGCCTGGGCTCTAGCTGTACACGTGGCTGAGCAGGCTGGAGCAGCACACACAGCTTCCCTTAAGGATTATTTCTTTTAAAATTTACAAAGCAGGCTGGAGAGGTTAAGAACACTGGTTGTTCTTCCTAAAGGTCCAGAGTTCAATTCCCAGCAACCACATGGTGAGATCTGGTGCCCTCTTCTGGTGTGTAGGCAGAACATATTATAAATAATAAAATTCATCTAAAAAGAATGTACATTCAAAAATCTTGTTAAAAATTTTTTACATAACGCTTTTACTGCCATCCCAGGGATCAGAATGTAGTGAGGTGATCCCACCCAGCTTCAAGGAAGGCTAAGAAAAATAGTCTGAAGAGCAGAGAGTGGTATTTTGTTTTGTTTTGCTTTGCTTTTAAGTGGAGACTGTTTTAAAGGCAAGAGCTGCGGAATGCTGGGATTACCAGCCATCTCTGACCAGCCTCTAACGGAAACCCACACATTAGGCCCCAGCACCTGAGGTCACAGCCAATGTCAAGAACACCTTCCTGAAAAAAAATGTCATTAGTTCTGGGTTTTACAAATAAGTGGATTAGGTGTGCTTGGGGGTGGGGGTTATTGCTGATCCAGTCAAGGGAGATGGGGAAATGGACCTTGCTTCTTTCAGAAGACTAGCTGAGGGGTTCAAGGCCTTGGACACCATGTGGCTCATGGTTGCATGGGTAGTTGCCCTCTGTGTGAATGCTGAGGTGGGTGGGGATGGGCGGCAGAGAGCACTGGGGCTCTGCACTTAAAGAGGAGTCCAGAGCCTTCTAGAAGATCCAGCTGCGATAACCTGTGAAGGCCTTCTGGGGTTCCACTACGTTCAGAATACAATCTCCGCGTCCCAGCACCGCCCACAGGCTTAACGGAACCTGGACTCTCTTCTGCCTTCCTGCTCCTTCCAAAGCATCATCCTGGAGCTAGTCCAAGCAGATGCCTGCTCTTTGGGGGCAGCACAGTGTATCTTGCCCCAAGCATCCTCTGAACTTTCGTCTCCATTCTCTTCACCTGGCTTCCTCTTCCTTTTTTAGTGCACTAGTTCAGCCTTCTATTATGGCAACAAATACTCAGTGAGATGATCAATTTATAAAGAAGGAAGGTTCATTTGGTCTCACGGTCTCAGAGGTCCATGAGCATCGGTTGCCCCTGTTGCTTTGGGCCTGTGACGGGCACATGTCATGGTGGGGAGGGCAGTGTAAAGCCACTCACCTGCGTCGTTGTGGCTGGGAAGTAGAGAGAGAGGAGGAGAGAGCTGTGGTGCCAATGTCAACTTCAAGGACATACCTCCACTGGCAACACAGCCTCCAAGCAGGCGCTAGCTCTTAGCGGTTCTGCAACCTTCCAGTTGCACCATAGTGACCTTGTCCTATGCGTATTAAGGCACGGAGAGGTGAGCATTCTTGGGCCAAATGCGGCGATTTGTGGGGATGCCACTGCCTCAGGACACTTCCTCATATGGGCTCGGAGTCCTTTTCCCAGGCTCTGAAGCGTCTCTGTACTTCCCTCATCATTACCCTTCACCCACCGTGGACCTTGCTTGTCGTCTCTCCCTCTGTCTGTTTTACTTGTTCACGTGTTACCCGGGGCCCAGAAATGGGGGGTGATGTGATCTGGGGGAGAAGCTCAGGAAATGCCGGGGGATGTCTAGAAGTTGGAGAACAGGCCTAGGGGTGTGGGGGATTGGGAGAAGCAAACCACAGGCGGACAGGTGAGGCGGGGTGCTGAACAGCCAAGGGCTCCTGTAAGGGTGGAACCATAGGCTGCTTTGCCCCTTGCCCAGATAGCCATCTGGGGGGGGGGGGTGGAGAGGCGCCCCAAGCCTCATCCTCCCCGTGTGTGTCTATCACTGGAGAGGGGCCATGTATCAGGCTGTGGCGAGGGGTAGGGGTGTGGAAAGGCCACGGTCACTCCAGCTGAGCCCCAAGCCTCTCTTGTCCCATCGGGAGACCTGCTCACCCACCTGTGTTTGCTCCCACACACTCTGCAGGTTAGGGACATGCAGCCGATCCTGAGACCATCCATACATTCCATGACTAAGGAGGTAAGACGCGTGGGCCTGGGGACCCTGTCCAGCTCTGCCGGCTCTGGGGCCCAAGCCTCCTTCCTGGTCCCTTCCTGGCCTTTCAGGTCCCTTTTGAGAAGAACTGTGGCGAGGACAAGAAGTGTGAGGCAAACCTCGCCCTGTCACCCCCGGCCAGGTCTGTATGCCTTCGACCCCACCTTCCCGAGGCAGTGCCGAGAGGCCATTCACCCGTGGGCTGTGTCCACTAGGAAGGGCGCTTCCTCTCCATGCCTCACCTACCTTCTCTGAGAAAGGCAGTCATTAGCAGAGCTTGCGCTGGGGTTGGCAAGTGTGAGGAGCCTGAGCCTGAGCACAGGAGCTGGTACTGACGGTCAGCTCCCTCGGCTCTGAAGTCCTCACCTTGGTGCTGTTTCCTGCCGTCTTGCCCCCTGCCCTCCGCCCTGTGACTTTTTTCTGATCACCTCCTAACCCCCAGCCCCGGAGTCCTGCAGCTGACGCCCTCTGCCAGCCTTGCTGTGGAGTGGACACTCAGGAACTCGGGAGAAGACGCTTACTGGGTGCAGCTGAGCTTGCTCTTCCCTTGGGGGCTGTCCTTCCGCAAAGTGGAGATGCTTAAGGTGAGCCCGAGGGCCCCGCCTGCCTGGGACGTTTCCCTGCGCCGGCTCCTGCCCCCACAGCACGCTTTGGGTAGCCCGGATGGCCTGAGTGGGAGGGCATCTAATGTGTGAGGCACATCAGCCTGGTGGCGCTCATCCCAGCCTGGTGGTGCTCGTCAGACTCCATCCTGAGGAATAAGCTCTTTGAGTCTTGAAGTCTCGTTTTTGGGGGGTGGGGGGAGGCTAGGACTGGGGAAATGGCTCAGTCAGTAGGGAAACGCTTCATCTTACACACATGAAGCCCTGAGTCTGGTGCCCAGGTCCAAAGCTTACACATGCGTGCACCCTCATGCACGCGCGCACACACACACACACACTTAAAAAGTAAGTTTAAAGGGATTACAGAGATGGCTCAGTAGTTAAGAGCACTGGCTGTTCTTCTAAAGGACCCGGGTTCAGTTCCCAGGTTCAGCTGGTGGCTCACAGCTGCTGTCACTCCAATGTCAAGGCTTCCGTCGCCTCTGCTGACTTCGGTGGGCCCCTGCATGCATGTGGTGCATATAGAGACGTGTGTGTGTGTGTGTGTGTGTGTGTGTGTGTGTGTGTGTGTGTGTAGAAGCATGGGGGTGGTGAGCAGGTTAGAAGGTCATGCTCTCCTTGGCTGCATAGTAAATTAGAGACCAGTCTGGAAAACTGAAACTCTATCTCCGAAAGAACAGAACTTTTACTTTACAAATACTGTTTAAAAAAATCATAAGTGATCACCATGGAAATTACAGAGTTTTATAGACAGCTCAGCAATACAGCACTTAAGTATGTGTGTATGTATTTTGTAACACCGACAATTGAATCTAGGGCCTAGGACATGCTGGTTAAGTGCTCTGTTACTAAGTTAAATCCCGACACAAACAATTTCTGTGCTTTTTGTTTGTTTGGTGGTGGGTTGGTTTGGTTTTTCCAGACAGGATTTCTCTGGAACTGGCTTTGTAGACCAGGCTCGCTCTGCCTCCTGAGTACTGAAATCAAAGGCATGTGCCACCATGCCCAGCAGAAATTCCTATTCTTAATCTTTTGGTATTATCTTTTTTTATTCCTAAGTACGGTTTTATATTTGTACTTTTTATGTATGTGTGAAACCCATATACAGATTACACTGTAAATTTACTTGGTGTTTATTTTAACCAGTCGGCTTTTTTTTCTCCATAGTTACCTTCCCGTGCTTTTAATTTTTAAAGTCATTATGTTTTATTTATTTTGCATGTGTATGTATGTGTGTGTATGAAGGTACACACATGTGTCAGAGGACACATATTATAGCACATGTGTGACAAGCAGAGGACAACTTGGAGGAATCTTTTCTCCCCTTCCACCAGGGAGATAAACTCAGGTTGAGACTTTTAGCGGGTTTTGGGGGGTGGGGAGTGAATGTCTGTAAGTTCAGCATTCTAACCATTCCTAGGCATGCAGCTCATTGGCATTGGGTCGAGTCTGTTGTCATAAGACTCTCTCTTTCCAGAACCTTTATGTCCTCTCAGACAGGCCCTGCTCTTGGTCTCTCGCTAGCTTCTCACGTACCTCTCTGTGAATTTACATGTTAGGCTTCACATAGCAATGGACTCACAGCGTGTGTCCTGCGTATCTGGCTTGGTTCACTTTATATGATTTGTTTGGTTTGAATTTTTATATGATTTGTTTGGTTTGAATTTTTTTTTTTTAATCTTGTGTCTCCATGTTGCCCAGACTGCACTCAGACTTCCGGGTCCAGGTAACCCACCTGCCTCAGCCTCTTGAGGAACAGGAACTAGAGACACACACTGTTAGGTTCAGCCGTGCCTTCCTCTTCGCCCCCTCTGGCCTTGCCCCTCTGAGCATGTGTCACACAGAGTCCTGGGAGCTACCAGCCCTGAGAGTTAGTGGCCTCTGGGGGACCCTGGACTTTGTCCACTGACACACTTCCTCACTCTCAGCCACACAGCCAAATCCCTGTGAGCTGCGAGGAGCTCAGCGATGAGTCAAATCTCCTGACCAAGACGCTGGCGTGCAATGTGAGCTCTCCCATCTTCAAAGGAGGCCGGCAGGTGAGCGCTGGGCAGCTCGCTCTCTCTCTCTCTCTCTCTCTCTCTCTCTCTCTCTCTCTCAGGACTGAGCTGGGAACAGGGAGGAGATCCTGGTTCCTGGTTCTGGGGAGGGAGCAGGTGGTTGGCTGAGAAGAGTCTCTCCTGTCCCAAGAGGACAGTGTACAGAGCAGCTTGGCATCGCTGGGCCCGGATTTGGGATGCAACAAACCAGAGACTGGATCGTTTGTTTTATGACCTTGCACACCTGACTCAGCTACCCAGAGCTTCAGTTTTCTCCTCTGTCCAGGGGAGATGAGACCCCTACCCAGTGCCAGAGATGCAGGCAACCTGAGCTCCTGGTCACTGTGGGGCTGGTGGCCCAGACTGGACCACGAGGTCCTCAGGCTGCTCCTGAGCCACTTCCATCTTCTCTCACCTCCGCTTCCCTGCCAGGTCAGCCTCCACGTGATGTTTAACATGCTGCCCAACGGCTCCTGGGGAGACTTTGCCGAGCTGACCGGCACCGTGCACTGGTGAGCGGGCCCCTCCACACGCCTGTGCTGCGGGTAGACTGCCGGGAGAGCAACCTGGCCGTCGGTTTCCCGACTTCTGACAGTCTCTCTGCCATGCTCCACGCAGTGAGAACGAGGACCGAGGCCTGCTGGGGGACAACGCAGCCACCACCCGCATCCCTGTGATGTACCCGGTCAACATCTTCACTGAGGAGTGAGTGTCACAGAGCTCAGTCACGCTCTCCTCCTCACCCTGCCTTCCCCTCTGGCTATCCTTGTCCCCCCCACCCCCAGCCCTCTTCCTTCCTGGACATCTCAGGTTCGATCAGAACTCTTCCCAGCCATTACCAACCCTTTAAGAGTTCTGTCTGAATCGGGTCAGTGCCCAACTGCAGAGAAGCACGCTCTTGGCTGCCTGGTTGCAGACTCTCTCCGCCACTCCCCTTACTCCTGTAGGGAGCCTCACCCCCCCCCCACCCTCCCACTCCCCCATCCCCCCACCCCCCCACCCCTGCATCCTCTGATGAGCACGGGTTCAGAGAAAGCTGCCATTTGCCCGGGGCCATGCGACCAGGAGGGCTCAAGCTCAAGTCTGTCTGCTTCCAAAGAGCTTGGCCATGTCCACCTGTGCCAAATTCCCTCCCATCCCGATACTGTGGTGCTGGAAGAGAGGGAAGGAATGTTTCCAGAGTGACCTTTGCCCTCTGGCACCTTCTCAGCCAGTCAGAGAAGACTCCCACACATGGAATCAGTGGTGTCAGCAGGCAGTGGGTAGCAGTGAGGCTCAGAGGGCCTCGGGTTGGATGTTCTGGCTGCCACAGAGAGAGCACAGTGGCTCTTGGAAGCTGGTTCTGTGTGGTGAGGACAGAGCCCAGGTCTCAGCTCAAGGTGCTTCTGAACACTTCCGTGTCGAGCAGGATGGGGTTCAGATAGAGCATCAGGGCAGGTGCTGGAGAGATGGAAGGCTCATGGAGAAAGCTGGCCTTGGACTTGGGTCTTGAGGCGCTGGGATGAGGGCCAGGAAGGAGACAGAAGGCAGAGCACGAGCAGAGGCAAGGAGGCAGGACTCAGGAGTAGGGAAGCAAGCGGGGAGCCTCCAACCCTTGGCGGCGTGTCCAGGAGAGCCGTGGGAAGGCGGTTGGCGTGGCCACGTGAGCTGCGGGCCAGGGAGACATGGTGGAAGTCAGAGGGTGACGCACGTGGGAAGGACACGCAGACTGTGAGCTGAGTTGAGACTCCAGTGGAGGTGGCACGCGGTGGCGAGGACAGGGCTCCCAAGCCATGACCCTAGAGACTCTAATTCCAGAGCTTCCGTCCTGTCTCTCTCTACTGGCCTCAGTTCCAAAGGACTAAATGACAAGATGCCAGTGAGGGCCCCAGCACTGTGCCAGGGGCCCAGAGGCTCCTAGGGGTCTGAACTGCATCCCTTCCACCTTCCATCTCTGCATGTCTCTCTCCACAGCCAGGGGAACTCCACTTTCTATATCAGTTTCACCCCTAAAGGTCCCAAGACCCAGCAGGTCCAGCATATCTACCAGGTATGAATTCCCTAAGGAAGGGTCCTCAAAGCCACACTCTCTTTTAGTTTCTTTCTTTCTTTTTTTAAAATTTTTATTTCTTTTTTTACGTGTCTGAGTGTTTGGTCTGTGCACCGCCTATATGCCTGCCTGGTGCCCTCAGAGGCCAGGAGAGGGTGTTGGGTCCTCTGGAACTAGAGTTATAGACGGTTGCAAACTTCCATGTGGGTGCTTGGAACTGAATCTGAGTGCTTTAGAAAAGGAGCCAGTGGTTCTTAACCACACCAGTAAGAGAACGGTAGGATGGGGCCAGGTATGGTGATATCCTATCTAGAAAAGAGCAGGCCCGAGAACTCACCTAGGCCGTACGTCAGGTCTCACCGGGCGGTTGGTAGTCCAGGGCAGCTGCCGCGCAAGCGCTGAAGTCTCTGCTCTTTCCCAGGTGAGGTTTCAGCCTTCTGCCTATGACCGCAACCCGCCCATGCTGGAGGCCTTGGTTGGCCTGCCGCAGCCTCTCGGTGAGGGCCCCATCGCACACACGTGGACTGTACAGACGGTGAGTGCTGCTGAGAAGAGGGCAGAGTGAGCTGGTCCAGGGTGGGAAACGGCTGCCTTGAACTGCTCCCTGAAGGAGGGGAATGTGGGTGTCTGGATTGGACACGGGTTATCGGGGGGGGGGGGGGGGCAGGGACGCCTGGGTTCTGCAGGGGAAGGAAGCGGCCACAGACCCACTGGAGACCTCACCTCCGGTTCCTAGGATCCTCCTGTCACTTGCCACCGAGAGGACCTGAAGACGCCACCCAGCGAAGCTGAGGTATGGGCTTGTGGGCTGAGGGGTCAGGCTGGGGGCGGGCAATCTGCTGGGGATGGTGGGCCTCGCTGACCAGTTTTCTGACCACAGCAGCCTTGTCTGCCTGGCGTCCAGTTCCGCTGCCCAATTGTCTTCAGGCGAGAGACCCTCATCCGAGTGAACGGGACTGTGGAACTCTCCAAAGAAATTAAGGTAGTACTTGCTTGTAGTTGGCAACTCAGAATGTTGAGGATCCATTCGCCTTAGGAGTGGGGAGATGGGCTTCCCACGTGGGCTCCCTCCGTTTTTCCCGTCTTGAGTAAACATCCAGGTTTGCATAGCTGCAAAACAAACAACAGCCAAGCCACCTGGGTTTGTTTGCCGTTTATAGGGTTGTTTTCGTGGCGAAGGCTTGTTTAGTTTTAGTTCCGTTTTATTTGGTTTCGGTGTTTTTTCAAGACAGTGTTTCTATGTCCCCCCTGGAAGTCTCCAGTGTAGACCAGGCTGACCTAGAACTCACAAAGATCGACATGCCTCTGCCTCCTGAGTGCTGGCGTTAAAGGCTAGGTATGCTATCACACTTAGCATTGCTTTTTGAGTTAGGGTCTCACGGGATAGCCAGACTAGCTGGCAACTCATGATCTTCCAACCTTGGCCTCCCAAGTACTGACATTAGAGCCGTGTACCAACACATCTGCTTGCCAAGGGTGGTTATATTCTGTCTAGGAAGCTCCCCTTCTGACACCGAGGAGTGAGTGACTGCTCATCACAGGAGAGAAACGGGATGAGGTGGAGAATGGGGGTCACCAGGACTTGCTCCCCTCCTTTCCTGTGTAAGTGGGCCCAGGTCTGGGGTCTCAGTCCTGTCCTCACTCTCTGCTTCCTCCACAGGTCTCCTCCACACTCAGCCTCTGCAGCTCGCTCTCCATCTCCTTCAACAGCAGCAAGCATTTCCATTTGTATGGCAGCAAAGGCTCCAAGGCCCAGGCATGTACCTCAGAAGCCACGGAAAGGAAGCAGGGAGGTTCAGGGACTCCATGCAGAGCTCGTAGAGAAGGGGGGGTGGGGGTTTGGCCCAGGCAGAGCTTACTCTAACTCAAATCCTTAGGAAGCAGTAGGCTTCACTTCATTGAGAAGCAAGCCATGGCAGGGCCCCTGGTCTGAGCTGCCACAGACGCAGGTCTAAAGATCAGTGTGATGGCACCTCAGCCAAGGGCCACCAAGCCCAGCAGCCAGTAGGCAGAGGGCAGTGAACACAGAGGCCCAGGGTTCAAGATCAGGCAATTCATTGTGACCAGAGATGGATCTGAACACAGAAAGCAGGTTCCTCAGGGCTTTGAATGCCTACCTGAGGCACTGCCTCCTGGGGCCAACGGCAAACCATGTAACTAACTCTCAGGGCAGCCTGTGGTACCCGTGGCGAAGTGACCGGTGAGTGCTGTGGGTGACATATTTGTGGGAGAGGGTCTGTGGCTGGAGCCCAATGCTATGATGCAACCCACAGATATGAAATGATACTGGGGACGGACCAGGCATGGGGGGGGGGGGCTCTTCCTGCCCTCACCTAGCTGTCCTCCCCAGGTCTTCATGAAGGTTGATTTGGTCTATGAGAAGGATATGCTTCACCTGTATGTGCTCAGCGGCATTGGGGGTTTACTACTATTGCTGGTGATTTTCTTCGTGCTCTATAAGGTAGGAACTTCCGGATGGGTTAAGCATTGCCAGGGCAGCTGGGGCAAAGGGGGAGCATTGGCAGGGGCCAGGAGAAGCATGCTGGACTGGACTGGGAAGCATAAGAGCCCAAATGGGCCTCAGCTCACCCCATCCTTCCACAGACCTCACCATCACTCAGTTCGACACTGGCGCAGCCAGAACTAGGTTGAGGGAGAAAAGAGAAAGGAGGGACCTTCCGGTCCCGGGTACTGCACTAGGCCCCATAAGACAGAGACATGTAATATATCCGTGGTCCCCACTCATATGAAGTTCACAGTCAAAGCATGGACATGGACAGGAGTGAGCATGACTGGGGCTGTCCCAGGGTCCGAGTACTCTGGAGCCTGTGATGGAGATGACTGGCTCCGGGCGAAGGGTCTGGGAAGGCCACCAAGAAGAGGGGGCATCTGAACTGAAATTTAGACAAGTAAAAATTAGGAGTGACGAGGGACAGTCCCAGCCCTTGGGGGTCAGAGGTGGAACTTCTGGAAGTTCAAGTTCAGTACAAGACCCCGTCTCAAAAGGTGAGGGAGAGAAGCCTTGGCAGTTAAGAACACTGGTTGCTTTTCCCAAAGGATCTGGGTTCAGTTCTCAGCACCCACACGGCAGCTCACAACTGTCTGTAAGCTCCAAGAGACCCAACACTCTCACACAGACATGCAGGCAGTCAAAACACCAATTCGCGTAAAAAGAAATAACTAAACAATTTTTCAAAGAGAAGGGAGAGTGGCAGAAAGGAGGCAGAGCACGTGGTCTGCCGGGGCCTCTGTTTTCCACTGAACACCTTGTCTTGACGTCTCTCTCCTCACGGCCACCATCCGGTCTGCCTCCTCGTTTGGAACTTGGTCAATTTTCTGCCGTCCCAGCGTTCCATCTTTTTACTGAACAACTTCCCTGTTAAGGACTGTTTCGAATCTACCCTGGAGACAGTTGCGCATTTGCATCTACCTAAACTTTGTGACAGAAAAGCTGTTGTTACCCGCTCTCCACGCTTACCTAAATGTCATTTAGAATGAATTCTCAGAGATGGGAACATGGGGACAAAGGAATGCGCACGCAGTTTTGAGCTTCAGGAGACTGTGCACAGCGCATGTCAAGCGCTGAGCTATTGGTTCTTTCTGTTAGAAGAGATTGTCAAATTAGTCACCCGAGAGGTCAGAGTATCAGTGGCAGAGGAAGCAGCAAGCGCACAGGAAGCCCTGGATTCCATTCTCAAGTGCTGAAAGAAATATCACCTACTTAAAGATTTATATGTGGCCTTTAAAAGTATAGATAGATAGATAGATAGATAGATAGATAGATAGATAGATAGATAGA